CCCCAAAACCCCAAAACCCCAAAACCCCAAAACCCCTTAACTTCACCATAATGAATCCAAACAACCCATATAATATTAATCCCTAAAATTCTTAGGAAACCCAAATTGTTCTAGGAATTCATTCTGCTGCAATCCAGCCTTTAGAGAGCTAGAGAATGGTCTCTAGGTTTAAAGGCTTCTTCTTAGATTTTGGCAGATTGAGTTTTTGCAGCTTTTTAGCACATTTTTTTGTCTTTTTAGGGCTGATTTTAGAAGGCTTTTTGAACTTTTTAAGGCTGATTTTGGCAATCTTTGAGGACACCTGGTCGTTAGTTCTGTCAGAGTTGTCGAGAGAGACGCCTCTTTTGTTAGTAGTGGCTAATTGGCTCTTGTTATTTTTCCTGAGTTGTATGTAGTTGTAAAGATTACTATCACAGCGTTTCTTGGTATTCTTTTCCAAATACTTGATAACACTTTTAATTTTATGTTCATATTGCTCATCGAATGGGTTTCAGATTCTTGACTTAATTATAAACCTATGGAAAGAGTGAGATGTCTTTATATGCATTTAGTGCAATATGTTTCAGGCCTAAATTCCTGAAGCCTGCAACAACATGATTGTGGTTGAAATGTTGTCGCAAATAGCAGTGATTCTCTTATTACTGAAAGACCTTAGTTAATTTTAAAAGTTCAGAAATTGCTGAATCAAAGAAGTTATTTCCTTACTTAATTTTCTATCAAGAAATAGCTCAGATGCTTTTGGACTATAATGCTGAAAACTCGGAACTTTAGGTCCACGAGGAGTGGGCTTTTGAATAGGAGGCATAATCGTTTTCTCCTTGTCAGGCCTCTTAGGAGATATCTTATGCAAGGATTCGATCAAATTACTAATCCTAGTGTCATTCTCTGAATGAAAATTATAAGAGTGCCCTCCTAAAACGTTCGAGGAATGTTTCTTCATGAATTCATTTCTCCTGCTCTTAAGTGTATTCGGAGGGTTATAGAAGGATTTAAGATCTTTGATTGACATGTTTATACTCGGAGTTTTGAGGTCTGACTTGTCCACATCATTCACTATTTCGATGCTTCTTCCAGGTTCACTAAATTGGAACAAATATATCGAAATTATGGGTAAAATAGTGCTCTAATAATACCATCCGAAATTGGCATGACTTACTAATGAATTGTTGTGTCCTGAGAAGAGGTTATTATTGGCAAGCAGAAGTTTGACTTAGTCATGTGATCTTGTTGGGAGATCCCACCTATCCTGTCACAAGGCACACCATTTATGTCATATTTGTTCCTGTTAGATGCCCCTCTCTGATGCTTTTTTATTTTTTCCATTCAATTTTTATTAAGGATTTTGGGGTTTTGGGGTTTTGGGGTTTTGGGG